ATGCGCTCCGGCGTTGTCCCTGGCTCCTGGGACCCCCAGCCCCTTCCTGACACAGGGCGCCCCTGGGCTGGGCGCTCCTGGCTCCAGCCCCCCTGCTCCCTGTGACCCCAGGCTCCGCTGCTTAATGCGGAGGAAATGGGCAGCTCCCTGGCTCCTGGGACCCCCAGCCCCTTCCTGACACAGGGCGCCCCTGGGCTGGGCGCTCCTGGCTCCAGCCCCCCTGCTCCCTGTGACCCCAGGCTCCGCTGCTTAATGCGGAGGAAATGGGCAGCATGTGGTGGAGAGGGGGTGGGGACAGGGAGGTGCTGGATAACATACCTTGGAGAGCGGCCCAGCGCTGCTTCCGGGGCGCCGCATCCATCTGGGCTGCTCATTCAGCCTCTTCCCCAGGGAGAATGGCAGGGAGGCCCCTGAATCTCGGGGGAGCCCCTCCTCTGAGCCTCTGCCCCACTGCTGCTTCCACTGCCCCCCGGTCCACGCCCAGGTGCCAGGTGCCCAGGCAGGGGGCTGCTCCAGCCCTGCACGGCCCACCACGGCCAGGGGCTGCTCCGGCCATGGCCATCCAGAGTAACCCCTGTCCGTGTGGCACGGGGGGGGGGGGGGGCTGCCCATCTGCCCTCCCTCCTTTAATTGGTTAACCAGTTAGACATCACAATTAACCAATTAAACAGGGTTTTACATCCCTAGGCAGGACAGGGGACGCGGGCAGAAGAGGTGACTCTGAGGGCCAACGCCTGCAGAGCCAGCAGGGGCCTGAAGCCAAAATAGTGGCCGGATTAGAACCCGGGGAAGGGCTCTATGGACGGAGACCCCTGGGAACGTGGTGGGATCTGCTCCCGGGCTGGGGGGTGCTGAGTGGAGGGGTCTCCTCTGCTCGGAAAAGGGATGCCCAGGGAGGAGGCTTTGCCGGGATTTCCCCTCCCTTTGTGCTCCCCTTCCAGACGCCTCCCCCTGCTGAGACCTGCTCTATACGCGGGCGGGGTGCTGGCCACGGCTGGGAGGCTGGTCACCTTTTCCTGAGCACTGTTGGGGGGGGTCTCCTCTGGGGGGAAAGGGGCTCTCAGAGTGAAGAACCTCCCCTCTAGAATCTGACACCCGGTTGGATTCTCACCCACCTTGGGGTGCAGCCCAGGACCCGGCTGCTCACCGAGCCTTTGCCGGACGGGCTGAGAGTGACGCTTGCTCTGAGCTGGCGCTAGCCCACTGAGGCACTAAGCAGGCTATTGGGGGCTCCTTCCGGCACTCAGACTGGCCAATGTGTAGCATAAAAAGCAAAGCGGGGATCCCCTGGACTGGCTCGGGGCCCGAAGGAATTTCGTAGCTGGCTTATGCCCAGCGTGGCTCAGCGGAGCGGGGGCCCGCGCCCGTGACTTCCAGCTGCCATGGGGCAGGGTAGCTGCGATTCAGGAATCGAGTGTCGGGGTGCGAATGGATCGCTGACTGTCCCTCTCCGTTCTTCTTTCCAGCGCCTGGGTCTTCCGTGCCATCTCTGTGCTCCTGTGGGTGAGTAGAGGATGGAATCCAGGCCTTGTGTGGTGAGGCTGTGGTGCATCTGGGTAGCTCAAGAGGGGGTAGGGGTGTGTGTGTGTGTGTGTGTGTGTGTGTGTGTGTGTGCATTTAGAGATGTTTTAAGTGTGTGTTGGGGGGGGCTACAAACGAACGACTTCCAGCGTAATCTCAGTCCAGGCGTGATTTCTGCAAGCCCTGGGTGTCTCGCAGGATGCTGCGCGTTCCAGTTGCAGCGTTAGATCATTGCTCCTCGCTGTTAGTGCAGCGGGCAGGTGTTGAGAGACCCAACCTGGAAAGGCAGGGAAATCCCTTATTAATTGACTCTGCCTTCAAGGCCTCATTTGCAGGCCAGCTCTGCCTCGGGCCATGGCTCAGACTTGGCCAGGCAGCACAATGCAGGCCGGGGCGCGTTCTGGACGTGCGTTTGTTCTTGGAAGGGGCTGACAGGGCTGGCCGTCTCTCCGCTGAGCAGCGACAGTGATGTCTAATGGGAAGCGCGTGAGCTGCTCTCTGCTCTGAGCAAAAGGGTGGGGGAGGAGGGGCTAAGTGTGAGCACCGCTGAGCCCTGGGGAGGATCGGTTTGGTGGGGGGAGTTTAAACGGGCTAGGATTTGGGAAGGAGTCTCAGGGAATTAGGTGCCCTGCTGCTTTTGTAACTGAGTGGAAGCCTGATACCGAAGTGCCTTGGAAAATGCCGGTCTGTGGTCTGCCCAGTCGGTCGTCCTGTGGAGCCGCACTGGGACTAGGCGTAAGAGGTTCCCAGGTGCAGGGAGGAGTCCGGGAAGGTGCCAAGCAAAGTCCCAGAACTAGTGTTCCCCGTAAGCGGTGCGCTTGGGTAGCCACTCAGGAGAGAGTCCAATGCTGCCCAGCTGATTAGCAGAGCCGCCCACAGGCAGCAGCGTGTGTTTCTACTGGTGGTGCACATCTGCTCATGCCTCAGTGCACAGAACAAAATTTATCCTGCACGTGGATGGAAAAAATTAGAGGGACCATTGCCCCGAACTGGGAAAGACTCTGCAAATCGACTAGACCCGGCTCTTCTCTCTCCTTGCGCACCCAAGCAGGGAACAGGGCTGCCTTGTGCCAGTGCATGGGCAGGTGGAGCTTCCGGGCTGGGATTCTGCAGCAGCCATGCAGGCTGCCGAGCATCTGAGCCTTCAGAGTTCTTGCCACGGCTGCTCTTTGCTCAGCCTGCTGCAGCGGCGGCAAGTTCCCGACGTTTTCTGTGCAATCAGTCAAACCCTGCTCGGGAGCGTTTGCTTCGCGCAGGGCAGCGAGAAGGGGAGTCGTGCGCAGAGAACCCATGGGGATGCCTGTCCCTCCCCGGGCGCCAGGAGGCGAGATGCTCTTGTGCCGAGCACTGGGGTCTCTTCCAAGCTCTGCAGCAGGGCGACCTTTGCGGCTGTCTCTTCCCTCCTCCGCGAAACGGGGGAGGTGACGCTGCCTCACCTCCTAGGCGAGGGCTGAGGCTCCGCTATCCTCCTGGCCCCCCCTCCCGAGCTGTTAGCAGCGACTCGTGGCCTGTCTCCTCCGCCCCGACGAGTGCCCGTGTTTTGCTCGTGAAGACCCGTCTCTCGGAGTGGGCCTGGTGTCTGCCCGCTGGGGGAGGTGGCGCCCCCAAGGGAGGCGATGAGGCTGCAGGAGGGGGTGGGGGGGGGCGAGGGGGCGGGAGGG